TTTATCTTCATTTCCTGAAGACTTTTTTTTTTTAACGTTTATTTATTTTTGGGACAGAGAGAGACAGAGCATGAATGGGGGAGGGGCAGAGAGAGAGGGAGACACAGAATCGGAAGCAGGCTCCGAGCCATTAGCCCAGAGCCCGACGCGGGGCTCGAACTCACGGACCGTGAGATCGTGACCTGAGCTGAAGTTGGATGCTTAACCGACTGAGCCACCCAGGCGCCCCTCCTGAAGACTTTAAACATATTTCTCAGTAATGGTTTACTTTACATGTCCCGGTAAGGTTATCCCTAAGCAGGTTCTTAGTTAAGTCTGAGAATGAAAAAATTTTCTTCATTTCCTTAGTATATAAATACTATTAATTTTTGCCTATGTACCTTCTATCCAGTGGTTTTAAGAAACTCAATTCTAGGTTTTTCCACTGGTTAGACTTTCCTAGGTACATATCTACATTACTTGCAAACAATGAACATTATGCCCTCTCTTTCCCGAAGAGCAGTTTTATTTTTTATTTCTATATACCTTTAGCTTTTAGGAACTTAGAACCTTTGCTATATCTTCAAAACTAATTTCTGCAAATACTCCATAAATACTCATTAAGAAAGAGCATTTTGTGTAAAACAATGTTAGTAATAATTCCTACTATGGGTATGATACCACACCAAACACTTTGCACACATTATTTAACTTATTAATCTCATATAACCTCTATAAAGCAGGTATTACTATTCCCATTTCACAGAGGAGGCTCAGAGATGCTTAGTAACTTGCTTAACATCATGTAAAGGGTAGAGCTGATCCTCAAATTCAGTTGAATTCTTTTTACTCTACCAGTCTACTTCCCTTTCTTAACATCTCCTTGGTCTTTAAAACAAAACAAAACAAAACAATCCCTTAGGATTTACATTAACTTGCAGCAATATACCAAGTCGTTCATTTGACTATTATTTGGTTTTAATTAAAAATTTTCCTTTTGGTTATATTGTTCCTTAAGGGCAAGGTGTGTCCTTTGAATGTTTCTTACTGCTAAAGATGAGAGCAAAAATTCAATAAAGGTTGGTGACTAACAGTCCTAATTCCATTCCAACAAGGACACAGAGTAACAAAGACACTCTGCCTATGAGTCTTTGCTAGTCAGGACACAGGCTGCTATACAATGTCCCTTTCCCAACCTCAGATACAGACACACAAATGCAAATGTGCATATGTATGTATACTAAATACAAGATTTAAGTTGTACTTTCACTGTACTGTATAAACTGCCAATAAGTTGATAAGATTGATGGAAACCTCATATTAGCATTAAAAAATTTTTTTAAATGTTTATTTTTGAGAGAGAAAGAGACAGAGTGTGAGCAGGGGAGGGGTAGAGAGAGAGAGAGAGAGAGAGAGAGAGAGAGAGACAAAGGATCTGAAGCAGGTTCCAGGCTGAGGGGTCAGCAGAGCCTGACATGGGGCTCAAACCCACGAACTATGAGATCACGACCTGAGCCAGAGTCGGACGCTTAACCAACTGGGCCACCCAGGCGCCCCTCACCATTTCTTTATATTAATCTGGTTTGAGTAAATCTCCCTAGTCTACCACGTAGGAGAAGAGTAAAATAAGAACATAGTATCATTTATCTTGCACATGGTTTACACTGGGATTTCATTATCCTGGGGTCACACATGTGAAAACTTGTAAAGTATAAGCCAATCTAGAGAGAACAATTAACTAAATTAATAATTTGAAAAAGTATTTTTTTAGTAGTCTACTTTTTTCCCAAATATTACGCAGAATTTTAACATAAAGCCGATACTACTAGTATAAACGTATTTAATTCAAGTTCATATTTATTCAGCAAGTCAATGAAGAGAAACAGTGAAGTAGTTTTTATGAAAATCTGAAACATTGTGTCACATTAACAGTAGTCTTACATGACCTTTAGCATATAATTTATCTTGTTGTTTTTTTTTTAATTACATAATATTCACAAAATTGATTTAGGATAAACTTATGGAAATCACAGAGAACTTTTCAACTGGGCTGAAACTGGCAGGAGAAACTTTGGTAAAGACTGTCCCAAAATAAGTTAGTATCACAAGTTCAGGCACCAGTGATTTCAGTTGCAATTCAATTAAAATTACCCTGCAAGAGTTACTTTGAAAACCAATGGACCTAATGATTTTTTAAGACCTTCTAATTTAAAAACTCACAAGGACCTTACATTTGATTCAAAGCCATGTCTCCTCCAAAATTTTACACTAACTGTGGAAGCCCTTTTGAAAACAATAAAGTTGTAACAATTTCTCATTTACTTCATTCATCTCCTTCAACCAAGCCCCACTCAACTCAATCATCTGTATTTTTATTCTTTTCCCGAACAGTGTCCCACATCTTTCTTGCTTATTTCTCCTCTTATAAATATGGATATAGATTTCCTAAACTTACTACTTTAAATGTATCTAACCTTTTTATAACCATTTCTGCTATTATCTGTACACTGTCTAGTTCCTTCTTTGTCGGCGCGGGAAAACTGTTCCCTGACTTGAGATCTCTCTCTTCCTCTGGAAAGACAGATGTAAAGTAACTATTTAGATAACAATGCCTTTTTTTTTTTTTTTTTTTTTTTTTTTTTTTTTTTTTTTTTTTTGGGGGGGGGTATCAGACTTTTCAAGTAATCAAACTGAATTTTTTTATGTGGACCAGAAATAATCATTGCTTACATATTCAGGAAGGTTTGAGATACGTACCTGCATTGTCTTTGCAGATACTAGAAGAGTTACTATTCTCGTTACTTTGGTATAGGTGCTGAGTTCTAGTCTCTTGGGGTACAGATGACGTTTGAGTCATCCCTTCTTCCAAGGCTTGCTTTATCCAGCGCTGTAATAGGAGAACCAGGGAATTATCAATAATCATTCAGAACTATTTAGTAAAGCTATTTTAAATACATTAACCAGATCATTCCACATCAACTGGTGAGAGATGCACTCCAACACACATTCAATTCCAGAGTCAAGTATTTTTTGTGTTTCAGTATATTAGAATATTGCCCCAACAATCCTTTTATGGGACAAAAGTGAGAAAATCTGGATTACACATAATGAGATCCCATCAAAACACCAAAAACCAATAAAAAATGATTATTATTCAACTTTTCATATTGCTTAGGATGGGGTAAATGGGAAGACATCAAGAAATCTTAGCTTTCATTTAAGAGAGACTCTGATCATATGTTATAAAACCTGTACATAAAATAAGTGCCTAGAAAGAAGATAAAAGATCTTTTAAGAGTTGTCTACCCTGTGCTGGGGATGTCTGAAGAGGTAATAGAAAAGCTTCACAGGAAGACCTGATGAGAATAAACAGCTCTTCTGTATAGGTACAAAATACTTCCAAAAGATCTACTCTTAGACAGAATAACCTGTGAGGTTTTTTTTCCCTATCAAGTACTTTGGTTAACTTATGGAAGAATAATGCAAATCACCAGAACAAATGAACTTCTGTAGAAACCAAATAGGGGAAAAAGTCAAAAAGAGCTCTCTAATCAGTCACATTTTTTGTAGCAAATACTGGAACTACAATGATGAGATATAAATTCAGGTCAGAAAAGTGAGCCTGCAAAGATTAGGATAATAAGATTATTCATCCTGGGGAAGAGAGAAAATTTCTTACCTGTAATTGTGTTCTCTTAAGATACACAGTTGTAGGTTGCTCACCACTCTGTGGCTCTCCTGCCCTGACATAAGACAGATCGAATTTTGATAAACATCAATTTCTGAATTAGACCCTCCCCCAAATAGGAAGAGCAAAGGTGATTATAATTTTACACCTTCAGAGAACAAGTATTACAGGTAAGTAAATATTCTCTTCACCAAAGAGGGCAAATAGATTCACCCTCTTAGAAACTTAAGAAATAATAATCATTTCTTAGGAAATAATGCAAGGAATATTTTACCAAGGAAAATTTTACATCGTGTAAATAAATGGCTTTGTGGTCTACCAAATGAAAGCAAAAATAAAACTAAACACAAGGCAGTTAAGAGTGAATAAGCATATAAAAAAGAGATCTGAAGTCAAATGAATTGCACCAACATTTTATGATATGACTAGGTCTCTGAAAAGGCAAAACAAGACCAAGAATGAACTCTTATACACAGAATACTGATGTAAAGATGAACTGTCAGAAACATAGCGCCTTACAGTTTAGAAGAGACCTTAGAGGTCACCTTGTCCAAAGCACTCATTGTATAGAGGGGGAAAATTAGGCCCTGGAGGACAAAATGAGTGAAAAATCCTTTGTTACAGATACCTTTAGTACAAGTTTTTCTTTTCAGAGCAGATGACAGGACTCACTTGGGGTCACTGTGCTTTCCTCCAAGAGAAGATAAGTTCTTATATTTCCAGTGTCAAGTAGATGCACTCATAAAAGAATTTACATTCTGGATCTGATGACTACAAAAAGGGAAAATAAAACCAGGACAGGGGCATTCTAAAGAATAAGATGCTGCTATGGTTAGCTATAAGGTCAAACACAGAAACACGATCAAACCCATTCCTCCTGCCCTACTGTATGTGTACACAATATAAGAGCCAATAAAAAAAGAACTTGAACATTTGTTTGTAACTAACAAAGTTCTTTAATAACAACTTTAGATATCCCCAGCCCCTCAGTTCTAGCTATAGTTATTAGCTAAAAAGAATACTTCCTCCTTCTCCAAAACTCTATATGAAAGTTTTTAGAAGCTTAGAGATAGGTGAGAGAAATGTTTTAAAGAGTTTCATTACTATGGGGAAGGAGCAAGGAAGTAATCTGGGTTCTGGAGTCCACAAAGATCTGAACTAAAACTTGGCCATGCCCCTGCTAGCTGCCTAACTCTGGGCAACCCATCTAAGACAAAGCTTCTGGACCTATAAATCAAGGCCCATAATACCAACTTCACAGGGTTGTCATGAAGGCTTAGTGAGAAAATGCATGTGAAGAAAGCTTATAGCATATTACAAGGCACATATATTTAGTGAAGATTTGTTCAACTGTATTTCAATGCTCTGTATAAAGGTACACAGATTAATAACCCCCCAGCGCATACGATAAAATACCAATGCAAAGTGAAGTGTTTCATTTTCAGTCAGGATAGTTTTCTAAGAAATCTGGAAGACCAAATCCCTCACACCCCACTCATATTATACCTACAAGTACGTTTAAAGAAGATTTAGAAAGAACAAGGAAGGACACTAGTGAAAAGACTGATTAGCTATTCATCAAATCAATGCTCGCACTCTAAAATAAGTGAACACACAAAAGATATGCCATAGTGTGCTTTTTATAAGAGCTATGATTCAATATAATTTAGAAATTCCAGGGACATCAAAAAATGTTCTGTCAAACATTCTAAGAATCTGGATGCAAAATATACACACGCAACTTTACATGGCTTTTAATTTATGAGGTTTTTATGTCATTTAATCAGGTAAGAAACAACAGGCCTATCAGCAATGCACACTGTACTAACTAATCCCATGGACGATGGTTTTTCTCATCTGTTTAACTCACATTCTCCTCTGAGACTTTCAGAAATTTATCCAATTTTGTTGAATAATGCAGATCTTCATAGGTCCTACACTAGGACCTAAGTGTTCTCTCTAGCCAATCTAAAAATAACTCTTTTCCATTCCCACCTAGGATAAAGCTGGGTTCAATTTCTAGATAAAAGACCCAATTTCATTAATTCTGCCCTTTAAAAGTGAAATTTTTAGTTTGTAATATAATCTTCATGTTAATAGTAAACATTAAACCTGTGACTTCAACTCAATTCAGATCTAAGCTTAAATAATTTTAAAGACCCAATTTAAGTACAATAATTTTATCAGATATCTAAGCATACACAGCCTGAACTCTTCCTGAGGACTAATATGATGTATATACATAAAAGTGCCTGAGCAGAGCCTGCAGAAAACAAGACTAAGGATGGTCAGACACATTTGGAGAATATAAAATGGGCATGAGTTATATGGGTTTTTTTTAATCTGCTGCCAGTGGAGATACAAAGATGATCTACAGATATAAGTCTTAAACTATAATGAGGTAAAAAGAGTTCTAAGAAATGGATTTTCTATCAGATTTGAAATCATATTCTCCATGTTTCTGGTTTTTACAGGACACTGTTAGTTGGAAAAGCAAGACTGATTGCATCAGAATGATTAAGGGGGGCATTTCAAGAGGCCTGTTTATACTTTTTACAATTCAGACTTCATTATTAATCTGTAGTAAATGATAGCCTGCCCTTCTCAAAGGACCAATATAGGAGATACCACTATCTGGCTTGATAAGATGCTTCAACAGTTAACATTCTTAGAAGTCTAGTGTTATGTCCAGTCAAAAACAGAACAAAAGGAAAAACCTCTCTCATATATACTAAGTCATCACCTGACTTGCTCCTCCAAACTAAAGACCATATCTAATTGTCACACCTTCTCTAATGGTTCAATAGCATTCTAAAAATGTAGTTAATATTTTGAGCTGTTACTCTTCATGAGGGACTGAACTAAATTTAATCGAAGATTAGATTTGCGTGCCATACCAGAATTAACACAACTCTCCAATTATTACAGAATAAGGTTAGTCATAATGCTCATTAAATGCAAGCAATTTTCCCCCCTCTCAGATGATCTGTAAGATCCAAGGTAAGTGACTTGGTGTAAAAATGTATCCCCAGAGACAAAATGTATCCCCTCCTTTATCACTTAGGCAAATTTCTATTGTTCCCCCCCCCCCCCAGAAAGATGTCATTGTTTTTATTCTTGACATGTGTAAGTTATCCATGTGATTGTATTATCTAAAAGCCTCCCTTTTGGCAAAGATCTCATGGTCAAATTTCTCCTTAGGGGTTATTCTATTTATTAAGGTTATTTAAGTAAACCATTAGATGACTCAAATTCTTAGGTAAGATGTGCAATGAGGAAGACTTTCTTCAGTGTATGCTACCCATTCAGTGGTAGTGCCCTTCCTTTGTGCACAGAACCCTGTTGCCCTCCTCCCCTCCATATCCCACACCACTTTATCTCATCTTTTATGCCCCCCACCCCCAAGAAATAATTTCTGCTCTTTGGGGAAGAGAAAAGCTTTAAGTTTGGAGGAGTCAGGGAAGACCTGCCTGGAGTTGGAGACTTCATCACATCAAATAATCTATATGCAGCATCCTCATGTACGTGATGCCAGTGGAGGAGGGCAATGGCAGACACTGAGGAAGGCAGCCTGAATCCAGATCTGAGGATAAGAGAAAAGGGTGTTCCAGGGAACAGACTCTACCTCAAAGGAAGACCAAATGAAAGGGTGTCCTAGACTTCTAGAAACACAAAAACGACATTATAGGTCTGAGGGAGTGATCTATTCTCAAGAGACACCTTTGGAAAATATGCAGGGCTTCTGGGAATTCTGAAAGAGCATTCCAAAAACAACCATCAAACTCTACTGCCACTAGACCCAAAAACAGTATGTAACTAGACAGACAGTGGGGAGAGGGGGAGAGAAAAAGAGAGAGAGAGAAAGAGAGAGAAAATTTATAGTAGGTTCCATATTTACTAGGGAATAAACAGTCCAACTTGTTTGTTATTTGATCAAAGAACAGGAATTATGCCAATTATAACAGGATTTCTCCTCTACTCTCACTCAAATGAGAATAGTAATTAAGTAAATTGAAAACACAATTCGATCATTTTCTTACTTATGCAATAGTGCTCTAGAGTACCTGGGGCCCAATCTCACACAGTAATCACAAATGGACACATTAACTAATACCACAAGAGCACACCCTGAACATCCCTCCCTACTCAGTCATCAAGTGCTGTGTGCTCTCAACTCAGTAACTTCAAGGGCTCTCGGAAAAGACAACAGTCAACATCCACAAATTGAGTACCAAAAATGCAGTATATATCCCATTTTAGTCCTACTGACTCGTGATGCATCACTATTCATGGCTGAAGAATTAACTCATTAAAAACTTACATGGGCACAGAGTGGCTGCCTAGAAAATATGTTAGGTATGTCACAATTACAGGCATTCTAGGTTAAAAAAAAAAAAACCCACATAAACACAGACATACCTTTTTACAGGAGCTGAAGGTGCCATCAGGCAGAAGGGGCCTTCGACGTCTCTCAGGGATAAAGGGTGAGCCAAAGCGAATGTAGTGTTTGGGGGTGGTGCAAATTAATGGGGAATGGATAAGACCGGGTAACATGTTCAGGGTTGTTGCCAGTACGGTTGGGTCCGTGGTGATACGTAAAGGGCACTCAACAGGGCATTCTTGCTTCTCGGCTTTGTCATTCAACCATTCTGTAACTAGATACTAAGGTAAAAAAGAGATCATTAGTCAGTGCTGGAGATGTAAAAGCCAGAAGCAGCAGTGTAGCTCACAAAGACAAACTTCAGCTAGAAACTAGGACAGAGGCAGATATAGCAGCTGCAGAGAATATGAACTGGGCATTCAGAATGCAAGGTATCTTCCTCCACCCTTTCCATGACCATTAAGGGAGAAATAATTCCAGCTAAAAGCAATTTAAGCTCTGCCTAAAAGTTAAGGGAACAAAAAAAGGTAGTAGGATGGTTTCAGCTTGCTGCCTCAAACAAAACTTTTTATCTAAAACTCTCTCTAGTAAAACTTGGACGAGTCATTATTTTCTGGACATTACAGATCCTCTCATTTACTAAGACACCGCTCTTGCCAGATTAGACTTACGAAGATTTGTGACTTACCTTTTTGGTTTTGGGGTATTTAGGTGCCGCACGGTTGACATGGGATCCAGTAACTGATACCACAGTTGGGTCAGACCCTATTAATTGCCTGTTTTCTCCTGAACTGTCTGTATTTCCAGCTTCAGTAGGAGTCACAGAGCTGTTATTTCCGCCCTCTTCCAAGGCAGCTTGTGACAACTCTGCCTGTTGTGCAATGGCCTGCTTCTGACGCTTTAGTCTTTGGGCTGAACTGGTCCGGTACCGAGAAATGCGACTCTTCGGTCGGGGCCTAGAAGGCTTTGCTGGAGGCGGCTTGGGGACTGGCTTTTCTGGAGCAACATCCTGTGACAACAGCAGAGTGAAATGCTTACCAGAAACTTCTTATCAGCAAACATTCTATCCAGCCTCCTATTCACTTGAAGCATTCTGAATATTTAGTGGTGAAAAAAAAAAATGAGTATTTAGAAATGCTAATCTCAAACATAATCCTTAAAAAAAACTTACACAAGTCAAAGAGGTTATAGGCAGATGCCTATTTCTTTACTAATAAGTATTTATTAGATAGGTCAAAGTCGGCTGAAGGTAGCTACCTAATTTTAGGGTTCTAAGAACCCTAAGGTAATTCTTTCCTTTGTTTCTTTCCCAGGTACTGAGGTTAGGCTTAAGGCTTAGAATTCATGGCCAGAGTAGGGAATGAAAAGATTCGTTCATCCTGTGAATCTTAGGAAAGGTCAGGTGCCTAACTGCTATACAGAAGAACGGAAAGAGAAACAAAATGATTTTTATGAACTCACCATCAACAGTTTTATCTGGCAGAAACAGTATGAAGTTACATTCTAGTCTGAAAGTGTCTAGTCATTCAAATTGTTTCCCTGATTCCCACAAATCAGCTGATGAAAATGGCCTTTTTTATTGTAATATGAGGTGAAGGTGAAAATGCTGATTTTAACTATTTCAAAAGATAGATAGCGGATATTAGTAAAAGCAAGGATGTCTAAGGCGTGGATTCTTTCCATCTCTTACCCCTGCTTGGGAAGACCTCCGGGTGTTCACTCCAACAGTCTGTGGGGTGCTTGGGATGGTCATGTTTGAAGCCGGGTTGCTAACTTCAGGTTCAGGGGCTTCAGTTTTTGCCTCTTCTCCCCGAGGGGTCTCTGAGGTGGTGGTAGTAATCTCTATGTCAGAATTGCTTTGTTCTAAGGGCTGATCCCGCCGCTTCTTTCTTTTCTCTAAGTTTTCAAAAGCATGCATGATGGCCTCGACCTTCCTGTCTTCCCGGGTCTAGAAAGAAATAGCATTAACACAGAAGGAAACTTCAACAAAAGGTAGAGATATTTTTCCAGAAATGTTATTATTAATGGAAATTCATAGACATTTAAAGACATTTGCCAGTAAAATGATACATATATCTTAGAGAACATAAGTGAAAACTAAAAATAACTTAAAAAAAATTTTTATTTCAGGGAGGTAAGTGAGCAAGCGGGGGAGAGGGAAGAGGGAAAGAGAAAAGAATCCTAAAGCGCCTCCACACTCAGCGTGAGGCCTGATGTGGGGCTCAATCTCACAACCCTGGGATCATGACCCAAGCTGAAATCAAGAGTCAGAAGCTCAACTGACTGAGCCACCCAGGTGCCTCCCAAAAATAGCCAGGATGCCTGGGTGGCTCAGTCGGTTAAGGGTTCGACTCTTGATTTCGGCTAAGGTCATGGTATCACAGTTTGTGGAATCGAGCCCTACCTTGGGCTCTGTGCTGACAGCATGGAGCCTATTAGGATTCTCTCTATCCCTCTCTCTCTGCTCCTCTCCTGCTCATGCAACTGTCTCTCAACATAAATAACTTTAAAAAAAACAAGAAGAAAAGAAAAAAAGTTATCAAAATCAATTTTTCTCATGGTTTTCAGAATTCAAAAATAATGAAGTAGATTTTAACTTCTCAGGACCAGAACTAAACATGGCTGGCTTCAGCAATAGAGTAGAATTTTTGAAAAGATGTGACCAACAAAAGTTTTATTTTTATGTCAAAACTCACACAATTCCAGGGGCACCTGGGTGGCTCAGTCGTTAAGTGACTGACTCTTGATTTCAGCTCAGGTCTCAGTTCCTGAGATTGAGCCTCACATTGGGCTCTGCACTGATAGCACAGAGCTTGCTTGGGATTCCCTCTCTACCTCTCTGCCCCTCCCTCACTCTCTCTCAAAATAAATAAACATTTAAAAAAAACAACCCCCAAAATAAAAAAACCCTCACCCAATTCCATAACAAGAAGCCCTAACATACCTATTTTGTTCCAACCAGGCAGTTCTTTGGAAACCAGATTGTTAGTAAGAACCCTCTTAAGACCGTCATCAGATAATAACCACTAGACCACTACCATGTGTGTCTCTGAGATAAAAATAAATAAATCATAATGAAATAAAAAGTAGCCCAAATTGTAATGTGCAGGTGATGGTATGGTATCTTTGTCAAAGAAAGAGATGATACAAACTGAGAAGAGAAGGGGTTTACATGCTGTGGGTAGCAGGAACAAAAGGATATTAGAAAGTACCCACCCTTCTGCTATGAGCTGGGTTCTCCTGGTCATCTGTAACCTCTTCTTTCTCTTCTTCTGCTTTTTCTTCTGGATTGTCTGTTTCCTTTAAAACAGAGGCAATATTCAGCTATACTCTTAAGCTCTAAGAAAAAGCAATCTTTTTTTTTTTCTGGTAGCTTAAAATCCTCTAGAAACATTTTCTAATACTTCATACAGTGTTATTCATGTGAGACCACATGGTAAATGCAAATGATAAGCACCATTCTCTGGAATGAAACATGGAAAGCAGCTGAAAGGATGTGCTTGACATTATAAAAAAAAAAAAGAAAAAACAAAAGAGAGGGAGAAAGACAATGAATGAATGCACACCCACCTTGATATGAAGGGCATTAAGTGTTATTATGGACTCCCTACCTATAACAACATGTGGCAAGCTGGGATCCTCTTTATTTGCAGAGAAACAATACCATAGCAACATCCTCTGACCAGGGGAAGATTACCTCATGGTCACTGGACACAGTTACTTTCTCAGGAACATGTTCTGATTGCTGATTGTTATCCTCTTCTGGAGCCTCATTCTGCTGTTCCATCTCTAGCTCTTTCCGTCGTGCTTTTCTACGTCTTGTCTCTGCTCCTATGGTTGGTAAACTTGGAGGAGGTGGGAGTGGTGGTTCTGCAGCATTGGGATTCCTTTTCTGTATAGGGCAATTCCGGTTCCCCTTGTGACATGCACAGTCCACTTTATAATTACTGCTCCAAAGAAACAACCAAGAGTGCTTGTCTTAGTACCCATGAAAAATCAGTCCTATTGTTCCATTCATCCTCTTGGAATAACAGTATAGGAATTTCCTCTAGTATAATATCTCTGAATACATTAAACAGATACATTAGACTCCTATGAATACTTCTCAGTATTTGATGCTCAATATTTGCTATATCACCCCCAATTTTTCCCTTATATATGGTCAGTGGAAAGGAAAGAAAGCCTCCACTAAGTTCAATTCTCCCAAATGTCTTTATGCTATTTACTGGGCAGTGAATCAATAACAGGGGCTAAAGAGGCCATACTTCTCTTGTGCCTTCCTTCACCTCACTTTTAACCTAATGATTCCCTACTTATTCCTAATACCTTTTCATCTCATACCTGTGATGGACATCAAGTTAACATATAATCTTTTTGGCCTAAAAGGACCAAGAGAGAAAGATCATAAATTTTGCAAAATCCATCACGTATTTATCTGTGACTTGCCATCTTAGTTTTTCTGCTTTGTCTCATTCAGAGAGATTACATGGTTTGAATGGGTGGGGTGAACTTTAAAATTTTCATTCTGTATGATCCCTGGCACAAGTGCTGTGTGCATAACAACAGATGCTACTGCAATTTCTTGGGAGTGTCTCATACCTACCCTTTTACTGTTCTTGCTATAGAGACATAAAGACAAAACACTGTTGGTTAGGAGACCAGTGAACACTGTAATAGTATGTATCTGTGTCTCTAGGAAAAAAAACATTAACCCTAAATCTGTCTCTCCCTCCACATTTTCCAGACAAAAAATGAATCACTCATGGAAAGATGAGGTTAAAAAAAAAAAAGGAAATAACAAGGAACAAAAGCAGACTGATAGAAGAGCTTAATGTGTAAAAAGTAAGACAAGGTCATTCATTTAGGAAAGGTTTTGGAGGTCTTACCAGTTACTGTACTCATAATCAAATGCTATCGTGACCTCAGCATCCTTGGTGATGGCAGACACCGCATAGATACATAGGTGAATCATCCCATCTGCAATCATGTGTCGCACCTGTGTGAACATGGCTTATGGTTTACAATTTACCATAAAGACCAGGAACTCTCCATAAGAGAGAAAAATAGTATCTCTCCACTTAAGATTTATGGTAGTCTGTTACTTAACTCCATCATTTCATATGAAACTCTTACACAGTAATTGTTTGAAAATTCATACTTTTGAAATAAATAGAGAAACCCTGAGATGTCAGAAATGAGCATAAGATCTCTGCTCTACACTTAAAGCTGTTGTCAGTTGTACCGGAGAATTAAAATTCCTTAGCCTATAAAAAAAAGCTCTGTGGATTTTCTTGCTGAATTTGATGGCAGTTGCATGGATTATGCACAGAGTAATGAATTCTAGAAATGTCTAGCATCTCCCTTACAACACTATTACTGAAAATCTAAAAAAAATGACATCTTCTTTCATATAGTAATTTCTTTAATACGAAATTTCTCTTTAGCAAATGCTAACTTGCTTTTTCCCATTTCTGCCTTCTCTAAGAAATCCTCCACCTGCTTCCATCCTATCAGATAGAATAAAAGCATCATTACTTTTGTTTTTTTTTGTATCTTATGATAACAGATCATAATCATTATCTACAGACCTTATATTAATCTGCGTGAAGTTTTCAGACTGCATCTTCAGAAGACTTGTCCTTTGGTGATTCCATTCAAAGAGAAGTTGCTACAGAAATCTTACCTCTGCATTTGGTGTACACGATCTTCTGATGAACCGAGCATCATTACCGAAAGTACGTGCATCCACACACATCTCTACACCATTGAATTTTGAGTAGAAGAGCACAAAGGGGTATGGTCTAAGGGATATAAGTGAAACTCCTGTAATTCTCAACACAAATAAAAAGGCCACCCCATGACTTCACTTCAAATATGAAGCATATGCTGACAGAAGCAGCAGCAGTCCTTTGCAATTCCTAAACTTGAAAAACATCACATGCCTGTCTGCTTTTGATTAAACAACAAGCACAAAGCAAGAAATGCTTGGCTTGCAAAGGAGTCATTACTGCTTTATACATTAAACAATTTGTAGATTTATCTGCACATTTTTTCTGCAAATAGCAGACAGACTTGAGCTTATCTGAGCTGTAATCTTTTCCCTAAGACCATTCTATCAACCAGAATGTTTTTTCTTCTTTCTTTCTCTCTTTTTCTTTCTTTCCAGCCATACCACTCTGCCAGGCCCACTTTAGCCCTCACTGCTCAGTGAATGATGTTCTTACTTTTTGAAGAAATGCCCATTGACCTCAAATTGCTGTCGTAACATGACTTTCCCTCGATACTCTATTATAAGAGTGTCCAAAGCCAAATCTCTTGCAGCCCTCAGGATCTTCCGGTGCTTTTGAACACGAGTGACTCTTCCCAACTGTAGCTAAATAAAACCAGAGTATTAACATTAGACAACAGCAACACCAGTACGGTAGACAGTTAATATATTTCCTAATTGAGGAAAAGGCACCAATATTTTCAGGTTTTATTTGTATGCAATTTAGCTCAATAATCAGAAACTTTTCAATGATAAAAGCTTCTAGGAAAACAGTCTCCACCCAATGAACCAGTCACCTCTTCCCTCACAAAAAAGCAAGAAAAGATCAAAGAGAAATACACAATTAAGATTTTAGTGGCTCTATGTCTAATGTAAGAATAAAGAACAACCTTAGCTTTCTATTAATCTTAAAAATTCCTACCGAGGCTATATATCATTTCCTATCCTAATTTATCTGTTTTTAATTAATACTTTAAAAATATGTATCCAGACAGTTTCCAGTCACTACAACTTGCTTTTGGTTCAAGATGCTCATCAGCTGGCTAATTTGTTATTCTAAGGATTATACATTTGAAAGAAATGGTAATCCCATTATAGGCCCTCTTTCTGGGTTCAGAAAGTCTCAACTACTTACTTATAGGGAGTCTTTTACCCTTTGATCCTTACCTGCATTTGGGAACCAATAACTGTATTATTACAGGCCAATTCAGTCTTATTAATAGTGTCTAAAATAGCAGGTTTGCCCACAAATTCCTTGCTAGAATGTAGATGTTGTTCAAGGGCGTTCTGTACATCTGCACTGTACTGATTAGTGAAAGCTTCTTCATACTGATCAGTCCATAGTCTTATCCGATTTTCCCATCCCTCAGTTGTATTCTCATCTAAATTCTGTGCTTCAGAAGGAGAATTCTGTAGAGAACAAAGGTCAGGAAGGTTAGGAGAATCCATGCATAAAAATGGGGGGAAAACAGGCTGTATTTCCAGAGAAAATTAATTTTCACTTGGCAGTTGGTGTGGCATAAAAGAGCAATGGCCTGGGAGTTAGGGGATCTGGCTTCTATCATGGTTTTGTTACCAATGAGATGTGAGACCTTGAACTTCTTAGACAAGAAGTTTCCTCATTTATAAAGTGAGAAATTTGGATCACAGTTCCATCACATCACTGTGATTTTATGACCATTTTTAAATCACAGAAATAAATTTTGTTCTTATGAGAAGAATGACATCAAGTTCACAAGAAAATCTTCATAAACACGAACAGAGATACCTGAAAAGATCACGCTGTTTAAATTTCCATATTGAACTGAACATCTGTGTTAGTGTACCAGCCTAAACTGGTATTTCACTTCTCTCCAGGAGAATGTTTGTTTTTTGTGACTTATTATTTTCATTATACAATTAAATACACGATAGGTCTAAAAATACCTGTGACCCAAATAAATAACCCATAATCTCACTTCCCAGAGACAAAGTTATCATTTTGGAATGTATCTTTCTAGCACTCAAACTCTGACAGTTTCAACAGCTGCAGTCTGAAGAACAGAGGTGGGGGCAGGGGAGTGGGTAGACGGAGTGTAGAAAATGCTGAGAGGTACTGTGGGATACTTCTCTAGGAAAAACGCTGCTCTCTATGGTGACAATTCTGAGAAAAAATTATTTATCTACAACATTATCCTAAACAGTTTTTACATTTGAGATACAGAGACACAGCTTAAGTATGACACATATTCTCCTCCATGGTGTCATCAGAAAACAAACACACACTGATAGTGATGATGTCATACCAGTGATGACTAGAAGGAAAAGATACCATAGTGCCAAAGCTACTTGCAAATCCATGTCCAAACTAAAGTTGCAAATATGGGCATAAGAAAATTAAATATACTTTCCATGAATGACACAGAAAACATTTATATCTATTTTAACAATTGCTTTCTTTCACTTTTGTGTCACTGTTTTTGATGAACTATTGTCTATCGTCCTTTTCCCAAGGAACAGGGGAATGAAAAGAAAAAATTAACACTTTCACTACCCTTCTCACCACAGTCCAAAAGAATGAACAATAAACAAAGGGATCTAAGAAACACCTGAGGCCAACACACTGAGAACACAGTATCACCTGAAGTATCAGGAACAGCTAAGCAAAAGAAAAGTACAAAACCTGAGATGTAAGGGTGCTTATCAGACTGGGGATTAGGGGGGCCCAAACAGTATTCCCAGGTTTAAACATTCAGTCGTGATCACTCAACTGATGACTTACTACGCTTAATTTATACTAGAAGCCTTTGTCACATTATTAGCTGTTGTTCACTAACAGAACACTGACTACTCTGCTGTTCCATTCTTCTAGGTACTAGAAACCCCAACTCAGTGGATTTAGAGCATAGTTCTTGAGCAGAGGTGATTTTTCCCCTAGGAGACATTTGGTGATATCTGAAGTCATTTTTGATTACCACACTTGGGTGTATGTGTTACTGGCACCTAGTGGCTATGAGTAGTCTCCAGTAGGCAAGCTCTTGATTTTGGGATTAGAAATCCATATGATGAATACTTCCCATTCTTATGTCTCTCATGCACATCTTTGGTGGTGCTCTTACTAATAATTAATTCTGTGTACAAATTTGTAACCCAACTTAGAATTCTGATATGAGAATCAAAATAAACTAGTATTTTTTTTATTACTTTAATTTTAAAATGCCTATGGAACTGTCAACATCTTGAAAATACAAGCAATTTACACATAGAGGTTTATATATGTAGTTTTCACGGGCAGCCAGTCAATAGCTTTCAAAAGGTTTTGAACATCTGGAGGCAAGTTACAGCAGTTGGCTGATAAAAGAGAAACGGGCTTAAAAGCTGGAATCAGGGCTATGTCTGCCCCATAAGTCTATTTAAGGTCCCCTCTAAGCAAATGAGACAAAAATAAAGGGGCAGTGAAGGCAAATGTGACCTCTTACAGGAGACAGATCTAGCAAAAAGAGTAAGTTGTGTTCCAAAACATCCCAGGACTCTTGATGCTCGTGGGCTCTAAGTCCTTTCCCAGTGCTTTTACAGGTATGTACAAGTCTGTTTATGGGTATATGCAAGGTGAAGCTTTCATATTTTAGATAAAGTGTCACCTGTGATCTTCATTAACATCAGTCATATTGGTATTCCATGGATAGTTATGTGTATTAATCCTAATGAAGATTTTCCTTACTAAAAGATTTTAATGTTTATGCCATATAACTGTCAACAGGAAAGATTCTGCTTCTAACCATTTACACATTTAGGGATAGAAATGCTTATAAAATTAAATTAGATCTTAATTCTAAGTAAATGTTATGAAGCCATAAGTAATGAACTGGGTTGGGAGCTATGCTATCCTCTCACATATACATAGGTAAAGAAAAATACCAGTATAATCAAATATCCTTTGGGGAAACTGTTATTACCCAGTACCACTGCATGTAATTTCTCAAATCTCCAACCATTATCCAGTATCACCAAATAAGCTCTTTCATTTGATAAGAAGAAAAGAAACACACTAGCATAACCTGCATCTTCTATATCAAGGAGGTATGCCTGGGACAAAACAGTTCAAAAGTAATTCCAGTAAGAGTAATTCCTATCAATAATACTACTTTCCTAACTGATGAAATTTATCCTTCCAACCGTTGCTTAAAGTCCAAATGGTGGTAGGGTGGGTGTACAAGAGACGCCGTAGCACCAGAAAAACCTCAGTTTGGAGGTTGAGGCCAATTACAATGACAGAACACATCAGCCTCATTTTGTTTGATAAAATGTCACTTCCCCCACCCCCCGCCCACCAGGAAAGCAGCTAATGAAAAACCAGTAAATGAAGGCTCATTATAGAAAGGGAAAATATTTCAGAAACAAGAAAACCTACTTTGGAGAAAGGCTCTATGAAAACTCAATGGCAACAATTACAAACTAACAAAAAGCAGAGTCCAAGATTCCCAGACCATCAATGTCAGGAAAGAAGCTGACCAAAATGCAAGATCACAGTGAAGTAAAACACAGCATCAGGGAAGAATACCCCTTACCTTCATCCGCAAGGACTTCCGGGATCCCTCTCGAAATGCCTATCCCAAAGAGGAAAACAAGTAGAACAAAACAAAACTTGGTACCAAGAATGACAGTTATACCTATCTGAGACTAAAACTAAGGCAAGAACTAGTGTTTTAGTCTGTCCCCTTTTCCCTAGGTAATAAACACAGTGGAATTCCCCAAACTGTTATCAAGAATAGGGGCAGCTCTAGGCCAGTGACCTTTGAGGCTAATTCTGACACTTTCCATTGTGAAACTAAGTAATTAACAGGGAAGAGCATGCATCACTTAAATCCTATATGCACTCCTGTCACTAAAAGAAAAATAAAAACATTTCATAAGGTTGCAGATTTACCAGTTTTGAAATTAAGAAGGAAACAAAGACCAATCCCCTTAACAAGGGGTGGGCAAGTCACCTAAGAGCAACAAAGTTGCCATGATGGGGAAGAAAGAACACAAAACAGAAGAGGTTTCTCCTGGAGACTTTTTAGTTGAGAATACATGAAAGTGACCACAACACTGAGGAAGCCTAAACCATTCAAGAGAAGTTTCCTCACTTTTTTGAAACAAGGAAAAAACAATCAACTCAATGACATGAGGTGGGCATGTACCAGGACAAGAATTTCAGACTGTATTTTGGGACTGAGGAGGTGGGGAGATACTGAAGGACAGCGGAAGCCTAGACTGGAGGTTACGGTACCTATGGGCTTGGCCAGGCGGGGTTGGGATTTCATACCTGGGATGGGGTTTGGAGAAGAAACTTTGTGCCAGTTGTGATGGTATGGAGTGGCAGAAGAGAGGTTGGTCTACATATTCACAACACAGATTAGCCGATTTTTGCCAAGTAGAGCAAAAGTGGCCCTTCAAGCATCTGGATCAAACTTCTTAAAAGAATTTTGGTGCCTTCTTGGTCCAGAATTTGAACTATATCAGACATATTTCTATTTAAGATACTTTTACTCTCCATACCTTGATTTTCTTCGTCTTTGCTGCTGCACGACCCTTTTCTGGACTCTTCTTCCGCTTCTTGGGTTTGGTTCTTCTAACAGTTAAGGTGATGCTTGTAGGTGTGTGCTGTGTTGCTGTGTACAACACAGTGGAAGGAGAAAGCTCCTCATCCCAGCTTTCTGTTGCACTGCTATCCCCACCTGAAAAAAAGTTATTTCATAGTTTATACGTTGTGCAAACAAACTCAAAAGTGCATTAAAAGCAGCTTATTCTTTTATCTCTACCCCATATCCAGAAGTCATAACTTCTATTAACTGTGTCATCTTTAGAACATAAATACCCACCTTCCTTATGAAATCAAGATTCTTTCTATACCACTGGCATCAAGCATAAAAACCCTGTTCTACATCACATACACTTTTTCCCTTGTACTGAGTCCCCAAGCTTCATCGCCTCAATATGTAAACAGAAAAAGGATCTTGTTATTTTATTTGGTATGTGTGCTCACATGACATATTTTGATTGCTTCGGGGCTAAAATGTTGTTTTTGGGTATATTAATTCACAAGAGAAGTACACAGTGTTTGTGAGAGAACAGCTTTCTCTTTTCATGAAGAGTTGGGACCATGGGAACTTACAGGAGTTCTTGAGATGATTATGTAAATTGCAAAATATTTATCTGTCAAAATGCGGGCCCAACCCATTTTCAGCTCACCTGATATGTTGTCCTGCTTCCGCCGATGAAGTCTAATAACCTTCCCCCTGCTCATTCCCCTAAAGAGGGAAAATAAACTTAAAGTAGTCCTTCCAACAGCATGCCGCACATCATTGCACACATGGGAGACGTGTCTCTGTGTATACTACCCCCTTCCTCCCACCTACCAAATGTTTCCAGGACATTAAATTTCATATCAAATTCAATAGCTTTAACATCAATCTCTCATTCCTTGTTGTCAGCAATTCTCACCTAGTGCAGAGAATTCGAGCCAAGGAGCATTAAGGAATCATCTACATTAACAAACACAAGAAAGAATACTTTGAGCTTTTCCCTACTAATAAGAAACCCTAATCCCAGCAACCCAGGCTTGAATTGAAATGGAGCATGATCTTACCTGCACTTGTCACAGTTGAGAAGGAAGCCATCCTGAGAAAGACCACAAGGACACCAGGTAGGAACAGTCTCTCCTTCAGAGTTCGGGCTGTCTCCACAGCGTTCCTCTACGGGCGACGGCAGGCCATTCAGGTCAGAACGAGGGATGATCGTCTGGACAGGGGGAGAAGCAGGAGGTGTCGGAGGAGGAGGGGCTCCGTAATTATGATCCTGAAAATAAGATTTTTTAAATCAACAGTGTCCAAACACTGGCCCCTCTCTCCCCTAAAGTATGGTACATATGGAAAGAAAGAAGAAAGTAGTACCCTTTGTTTTTTGGCTTCAACCAGGAAAGTGATAAAACAAAATGCCAAGGTCAACTGGGACATAAAAACAAGAACAATGATGCAGGGCTAGACGTCCGCTGGAGGCAGGGAAGTGCAAAAGGGGCAACTTCGTCATGCTGCATATAAACATTTCAAGAAAGTCACAATGTATAAGAATGGATTACACTCCAAGAAGATCACTGCTCTGGAGAGAAACAAATGCATACTCACAGCATAAGGCAGTCCTCGACACCCATGCCTCTGAGTGGTCCCATAATTATGAGTGGAATACACGCTCTTCTCATTAACTGCTGGACTAGCCTCCACAGATTCAGGGCTGCACAAAGGCGAAAAGCAACGCATGATAGCATAACACCTAATCTTCCCTTAAACTAAGACTTTAACTTCCCATTCTAACCCCTCCACTTTCCACAACCACCAGCCACTAGAATAAGAGAAGGAACTCAGTGAAACAATCTGATTAACATAACTAAGCCTATAAATAACAGGAGTGTTATTAAATGTGGATTTGTGTGTAACATGAAGCCAGTACAGGCAGATGTCTCAAGGCAGGCACCTGGAATACAAGGTGTCCCTAATGACAAACACAAACGTACCAGCTGAGCAGGGAGTTTCCCCTAGAGAAGCCACTCTGGGCTGGTTTAGACTCAGAACTATTCTTCTTAATTGGATCTCTTAATACTTCCATGAAACCTCACATGACATTTGCAGTGAGTGAGATGATGAAAGTGCCTTCTGCACTGCCCCAGGGACCAGGCCCTCTTCCATTCACTACCAAGACAGGATACCCTGAAGAAAGTACAGGTAAAAACAACGGCATCTTATATTTATCATACCTCTCATCTTGATGAACCCCCAAACACCTTTCAAATATTAGAGTAATAATTTCTCATCCACCAATGACATGCAAGCATATCAAGGACACAATTACTTAACAGCTGCATGGTAATACCACAGAACTTCAAAATAATCAGAACTGTACTCAGAAGTTATTGTCTACTGACAAACAGTAAGAGTAGTAGTGGCTACCATTCTGAATCACCCATTATTTTCTAGGTGCTTTGATGTACATTAATTCATTTACTCTGCAACTAGTAAACATGGTAAATAGCACCCCATTTTTACAGAAGTTGAGGTGGTGAGATTATGTGACTTCACCAAGGTCACACACTGACAGAGCCAGAATTTGAAACAATGTCTAACTCCAAATCCTGTACTCTTTCCACTATGTTTAACTGGTGTGGTAAACCAGGATAACATTCTATTTTTAAAAACTTAAGTAACCAGGCTTATTGAAAAACTTGGCTTAGAATCTTTTTGTACCCTCAATGAGTCGAAAGCAAAGTGCTCAAGTATAACTTATTAATATAAAATAATTATAAATGTGTTCAAATTTAGAAATTTAATGTAAGCCTTTACTTGATAATAAAAAGGCATAGGTAACAAAGGACAAAATACAAGTTTTGGTAAAAAAAGAACTTGTAACTCTGATTGTTACCTGGTTAGATTTTAGGGAATCTTGAGAAAGATAATTAAGGAATATGATCATATAACTTTGAACTCAATAATGGATTATCTGTCATTTAAGTTAACTAGAACAGAGATTCACAAATCAGAAACTCCAAGGACACGTAGTAACTCAGCCTTAGAGATCAAAGGGTCTTTTAAGGAATCAAATAATGCATAGTTTGCTTTAAGGAACATACATTTATCCTGCTTGGAAGTATACAATACACCGTACTTGGCAGGAATAAAGTGTGCGCAGTTCAATGTGGTGCAATGTCAGCTGAGAAGTGAGGGATAAAAGAAAATTCTGAGATATATCCAACTCACCCAGTTATATGCTCCAAAACTGTGAGAAGGGATCTTATTAATAACAGCAAAGGTAATTTCTAGGTGAAGAAGAACTTTAGACATAGGAAAGTATTCTGTTAGTGAAGTGCATGCATTTTATTCTTTAAGAGTGTCTGCAAGATGGGAACTGGGGTGGGGGGTACATCAAGAATGCAGGTCAGTATTCTTGAGAAAAGATGATCTGACATGGCTCACTGAGAGGCAATCAGCTCTGAGTATTAGGAAACAGGTGGGGTTTCCTAAATGAAACTGAAGGCAAACAAGCATTAATAAAATGAAGGTAGAATTTAGTTTCTATGATGGACAGTTAAGAGAAAGTAATAACTTTCTACAACATTGTTAATTCACTAGATAAACAAGTATTCCAAAGAACTGTACATATTTTGTAGAAGAGATTTTGTACCACTGAACACATGGGGTGAAACATGGCAGCCGTTTATTAGAAATGGAGTTTTTCTGGACAGGAAAAAGGAATGTGGCATGAAATAAAAGATGGCCATGGAGATGGAGCTATGTTGGTTGTATCTTACCCATCTCCCAACTGGGTAAATATGAACATATGCACTTCATGTGCAAGTCTAGGGAATAAAAATAAAATGTATATTGTGGAGGTTAAAAGGCCATCCCACTGGACAATACTTCCTAGTAAAGCACAGCATTTAATCTGTTGCTATGCGTGCAAAATATTAAAATTTAAGCTCATCTTTTGATGAGGAAACTACAATTTCCATAGTGGTTATTAATCAGTTACATGTTGACAGGTAACTATACGATTTCCTAGGATATTCCTTCATATATATATATATATATATATGTATATATATATATATATACACACATACATATATACACACACACACATATATATATATATATATCAGCTCTTATCTATGTTTTAAAATATGGAGTAAAAATCTGTAGTGTTAGGATTGCGTTTCCTTATTAGCCAACCATTTTATGCAAATGTATTACTGCCTTTCTTCCTCTATGTTTGAATTGCTATGAGAGTTGGGCACATACACAGAAGCCATGTTTACAACAGATACTGAGTCGACTGGGTTTTAAGTACAACGTGCCACCTGCTGCTATAATGCTACCTCTTGGAAAATGTCTGAAATCCATTTATGGCATAATTGTAAATTCAGAAAAATCCTTGCTTCTATTGTTACATCTAGAGGTTCTCCTACAAATACATGAAAAATGCATGATGTATACTGTTGTTATCAGATTTAAAATCCCATGAGGTAAGATCTACGTCTTTTACTTAGTGGAGTATGTTGCCTTTCATACCAAGTTTAATTTTAATCTTAGAGTGCCCAGAACAGTGAAATATGCAGGAAGAGTGGAACATGCATGGTGAAACATTAAGAAATATCATCTAAAATGTAACAGAATGGTACATAAGCAAATTGTTGACATTATCTTGTAGAAATACTAAATGAGTAACTGTGTAATAAGTCATGACAACAGTATCAGAAATCTGTCAAGAAATTACAATGAAAATGCTTCAGGAAATAGAAACCTTGCAGTCAAATTTTTAGGCCCTAAGTCTGCAATTACTTCTGGACTACCCAGCAGCATTTATGGGTGGTCATCTCTGTACTTTGGGAAAAACACCAGTTTTAAGAATAATTGCTTTAGGTCTTTTTCTACAAATCCCAAATTAATTTAATTTGGGGTTGATCACATTAATTTGATTTAATCTCTCTTGAAATTTCTCACCAATGTTAATGCTGTCTACCTGTGTGGTTTGTTAGTCAATCCATATAGGAGGTAGTAAATGACTTTACAAAAATTCATGAACACTATACAGTTATGGTTCCTAATGCAGCAAGATTTTTCAGTACTTAATTTGGGAAATAGTACTTGTAAACTTGGAAGTCTAGCTACTGGCATAACTGAATCTCTTTGCATGCAAAAAGATAAAAACAAAACGAAACAGGAAAAAAAGCCCTGGAGGGAACACAATTCCACCCTTCCCACCCCCCACCCTCCTCCACCTTCCTTTTTATATGGGAACAAGGCCAAAATTCTTCAGTTCTAGACTACCCCAGAATATAATATATTGCTTCTTAGGGTAGGTTCATGTTAAGTCTTCCTCTTTAAGGAAGACAATAAACAGTTAAGTAATCCTAGGTGGCTTTGTGAAGAAATGTACATGCTCTTTACTATATTCTGAGTTTTAAGGAAGAAAACCACTATTAATCAGGGATGCAGTTGAACCCAGAGCTCTGGTACAGTTGCTTTGCTTTGCTGAAGGGGGAAGAATCCCCAGGGACTATGAAAATGGCAAGAGAAACAGGGGAATTAGAGCAACACCCACCTCACTCAAGAAGTGGCTGTGGGATCAAGAGTCTGAACTGGACCTGAACATATTCAAAACACCAGGATTTTTCCAGCCCAGACCCTAATCCCTGGTACTGCCTGGAATAGACTTGGCTTCTGGGGGTGTGCTGCCCCCTAGGCCCCTTGGGTCTCTTTCGCTGGACTTTCACATCCTGGTGTAGTGCCACTTCGTCTTGAAAGGTAGGGGGCTTCCACTTCCTTTCTGTAAGCAAGGAAGATTGGGTACAAGGGAGGTAAAAGGACAAGAGGGGGAATCTGTGAGCAGGGGGAATCTTGGACAACTTAAAAGAGAAGGGATACAAAAAGCTAAAAATTTTTAAACTGAATAATATATAAAGTTTTATAATGAAGGCCTACCTTCATTGCCATTTGGTATTTAAATTCTTCAAGAATTGAGAGTCTATTTTAGGGATTGGGCTTTTCGACAAATTCTGAATTCCTAAAGCTGCTCTTAGCTGAAAAAAAAGTTTGGTACCACTGATTTTGAAGGTCCTCTTTCTAGGCAATGAATATTATATAAAAAAACAGATGACACTGCTTTCCACGTTTTCTACCCCAAATATCAGAAGTTCTAAGTAACCTGCCCATATAAGGTTTTAGCCCCTTTACTCTAGAACAGTGAGAAGTACATAGGAAGAGGCCTTCAAGGAAAATCAGTTGGAGAGAACTCCTTATCTCCATCAGAATAATCATTAATTCTACAGAAGCAGGCAGTGACACCTACTTTATTTCAATCTTCCCAACCCGTCAAAACCAATGAAAATGTAAGCACTACTTTGCAAATTTAATTCAATGATATTATTTACTAAGAAATCCACCCCCACCCCATTCTTTTCCTCCCCTTTCTAACTCTTTTTTTTTTTCCTCCAGCTTCTATGGGCGAAAAGGGAAAGGTCCAATGTCATTTACAGTGGGCTAGGCTTGGGTTTAGAAAATATTGCTTATTGTTAGATGCCCATAACAAAGTTAGCTCCACACAAATTGGTAATGCACCTACTACCTAGAAAGTAGCACTTACTCTGATCCAGCAGCCATATCTGAGTAGGATGTATCTGGTGTGGTGACTCCCAGAGGGATTGCAATGCTCATGACGTCCAATACAGCAAGAGAGTGGAAATCACGGGGTCCAATTAATGGAGACTGGCCACTCTGAGAGTGGGGGTGAGCTGCACAGCCTTAACCAACATGTTATGGACATGAGGAATCCTGCCAGAGAAAAAGAAAATATCTAGTAACCTGATAGTTCTTTAAGTGTATTCCAAATGCTACAGAATATTTTTCCATTTTTAAAATAAGTCTTTTAAGGGGCAAATATAAATAAAACAAGTACAGCAAAGGGTCTATACATTGTCCTATTTTATTGTGTACTACATTTATGTTCTACAAAATGAGGTAGCCAAAGTTATGCTAACTTTTCGTATCTTTATTATTATTTTTCTTTGCTTTTTAGCAAAAGGGAAAGTAATGGTCTGCCTTGCTTACTAGTATAAGTACATTTCCACCATTCTACAACTGCTCATCAAACAAAATTTTCTGGCAGCCTAACACCTATTACATAGTAAGTTCTAATGTAGGTAAATAGAAATATCAAAGTTTAACTAAATTCTTTAACAATTAAAGATCTTCATTTAGGGGTGCTTGGCCGGCTCAGCTGGTAGAGCATGCTACTCTTGATCTCAGGGTCATGAGTTCAAGTCCCATACTGGGTGTAGAGATTACTTAAAAAAAAGAAAGAAAGAAAAATTAAATATTTTTAAGATTTAAAATTAAAGCTCCCCCCCCCCCCCCCCCCCGGGCCACAAATAAATGCAGTTTTACCAGCAGCCAACAATGTTATTTATTTCAGATTAAGTGTGATGATAAAAGAGATCTGTTTTTATTTGATTGGATACAGCTGTTCTTATTGCTTTCTTGTGTCACATTACATTCTTTTCCTTTTTTTTTTAAAGTTTATTTGAGAGAGAGAAAGTGCGCGCGCGCGAGCGGGGGAGGGGCAGAGAGAGAGGGAGAGAGGAGAGAATCTCAAGCAGGCTCTGCACTGTCAGCATGAAGTCCGCTGCAGGGCTCAAACTCATAAACCATGAGATCATGACCTGAGCAGAAACCAAGAACTGGACACTTAACTGAGCCACTCACGTGCCCCTCTTTTTCTTCTTTGAAACCATTTTATTTTAACTGTAATTTTGGGAGAAGATGCAACTACCTTAACTGTATTTGTTAGGCTTTCACTACTAGGTTTAAATAAAAACGGACGCCTGGGTGGCTCAGTCGATTAAACATCTGACTCTTGGCTTTGGCTCAAGTCATGATCTCACCACTCATGACTTCAAGCCCTACATTGGGCTCTGTGCTACCAGAGCCTCTTGGGATACTCTCCCTCTCTCTCTCTGTGCTTCCCCTGCTTGCTCACTCTCTCTCTCTCTCAAAATAAATAAATTAAAAAAAATAAAATAAAATGAAAAAAACAAAAACATACACCATAAAGAGTATAGTTTCACGATAAAGATGAGAAAATTTTCTATGGAAAAGGAGACAGGATACCTTGAGTTGCTGACCATAACCAGTGGAATTTGGGAACACAAAAGACTCACAAACTACTAAACTGTAAAACGTCAAAAGTACATTAAGACTGAGGTGCTCCTGGCTGGCTAGTTCAGTTGGTAGGGTACATGACTCTAGATTTCCCATTTTAAGTCTGAGCCCCATGCTGGGTGTAGAGATTACTTGAAAAATAAAATCTTTAAAAAAAAAAAAAAAGCACATTAAGAAATTTGGAGGTATGGTACAAAGGGGGTAAAAAGTGTACTCTGTTTGATTTCACATTAGTGGTTTTGTATTAAACCATTAAAGGAATGAAACAAGAAGCGTTTTATGTGGGAGGGAAGAAAGTCAGTGTGAATGTTAAAGGCCCAGGTTAATAAAGACTTTTGCAAAGAGACTACAAAAATATCTCATGACTGATCTACTGATTCATGGTAAGACAAATAAGAAGAAAAATCAAACATTTATATTAAAGAAAATTTAATGCAATGAAAAGTATATGATACTAACTCAATCCAGGGAAAAATGGCAAAATTTAAATGGTAGACCATCTGAGATACCTGAATCTTTTTTGATATATGAAGCAAATTAATATGGATAAGAAAACAAATTGTGAGCAGTGAATGAGGCCAAGATTTTTAAGAACACATTAAGATAATATTAATCTTTTGCGTTATTATTTTAGAATACTATAAACAGCTATATGCTAAGCAGTCCTCCCTGGCACCTACAATTTTAAAGAGCTGGATCTCATCAAGATCTAGGACTTTCCAAATCTGAGGGAAGGCCAGACACCGGTTCCTATACAAGTGAAGGGGACATATTGCTAGACTTGGGACTGAAATGAAAAAGGCAAATTTTCCTGTTGTTTCTTTTCAGTTTATAAAAGAGAAGTGACTAACCTAACTCCTTAGGCCTGTCGTACACATAAATGTTTCCTTTCCCTAACAGTATATCAAAACAGATTTAGGCAGTACCTCCTCCAAGCCTCTGGGAAATTGAAATAAAATCTACAAATAACAAAAGAGAGAATATTTATAACTTAATAAGCTCAAAATATAGTTAAATATTGGGGACTGTTGGTCACAACTCTTCCTCTAATTTCAGTGTCACTCTATAACTTGAACCAAAGAGAAAAACACAAACAAACAAAACCAAAAAGCCCAGAAGCTGCATGGCTTGATAATCAGAGCAGAATCTTATAATGATCATGCCTCCCCTAACCAATATAGGAATCTCAATCATGTGTTACAATTTCAGTAAAGGACAGAAAAAGTTATTCAATACCATTAAAAAGCCTTTGTCATAGCCATTACTATTGTATGCTCATAAAAAAAAAGTAGGCTGCTAGAAGAAAGACAACTTATAAAACTTAAGCTGACAGTTATCTTTGCAAGTCATTTTTAAAAGATATGCTAAAAGGAAACAATGGGAAAATTACTTGATAATATTTCCTCAATGAATGAGTAAATAATTAACATATTCCTTATTGAAATCTCAACCCAGTTAATTTGGATACTTGATAAATTTAAGAAATATTAACTAGTTAACTATGAACTTCTCTTTCATGAATTCCTCCATCTTCCTCTTGTCTACTTTTACATGACCCATCCTGATAAAGACAACCATTATATAGCATGTCCATCGTGTTCTAAATAATGCTTTAACAATATCAGCCTTCCTAATTCAAAACATGTTAACAAAACCAAATTGCTCATATAACCCTGACAGTCGTTCCTTCCCTAAATAATACTCTGCAAAATGTAGCTCTTAAAATAATAAAGTCATTTTAACAGATCATCTATATGCAATATTTTCTTATTTTAATTACTCTAGTTTTATAAGCCAAGACAACAGACTCTCAGTATAGTTTACAAAGCTTAGCAGTATAACAGTCATTAACCTATCACACGATTTGGAGAGGTGTCTTAGAGTGAAAAGTTAAATCTGTCTCTAGGTAGAACAATTTCAAGGTATCTTTTACCTGTTAATTTTTCTGTCTCTTCCTATAAACTCTATGAGGACAAGATTTTTGTGTTTTATCCTCTGTTGTAGTTTCAATGTTCTCAATGGTGCCTGGCACACAGAAAGTGTTCTGAGAATGTTTGCTGAATGAATTATAATCACAATGATCAACATATAATTGTAGCATTCATTACAATATAAAAATTAAAACAAATTTAAAGGATTTATTTGACTCAGTCACCTTTTTATAGACCTCCGAATATGAAGTCCCCCAAAATTATCTGCCAGTAACTCTGAAGACCTAGAAAAAGTTGGGACACAGATTAGTACAGAAAGAAGTAACATTGATAGACACAAAGAACAGAATTATATAGAATATTTTAACGGTAATTTTGTGTTTCATTTCTACACACTGGCTTGTTAACCATCCTATGTTTCATTTACTCTATATTTTTGTCCTTTAACCGATATATCCTATTTCCCTGTAAAGCCAGAACCTAAATAATGGAAAAGGAAATTATCTTTATTAAAGACTTAAGAAATGGAAAATATGATGTCATTCAGTAATCCTCTTTCCTTCAAATGAGAATTCTCTCCCATTTCCCAAGAGATTCTTTTTTCTCTTTCCTAGGAGATGCTTCTTCTGTACTGACCCCCTCCCAAAATCCAGGGGCTTTCTTTAATCAAATGTCAAATTTACTCTCTACTATCACCTATTAAAGTTCATATTACGCCCATCCCCTCCATCCCACCTATCCTCTTTCCTGCTATAAAAAAAGACTGACAAAAGGGAGTCAATTCTATGTGTGGTAAACTTCATAATGAAAACATGGGGAAAAATAGGGCCTTAAATAACTTTCTACCCTCCAACAAGCAAAGGACAATAGGTAATTTTAGGCAGCAGTCAAATTTAACATTAGCCAAAATAATGTTAATCTCTCTATGTATGTGTTAATATATACCTAAAATGTTAATGTAACTATGTATGTGAAAAGAGCTGTTTGTGGGATTCCAGTTACCAAGCAAGACAGGAAATATACTTTTGTATCAATATTTTATTTATAAAAAATTGGAAAATTAACTATTCTTTAAAAACAATTTTAAAAGAGCACACATAAAAGGTATGAAGGTAATAGTAAAAGAAAGAATAAAGAAGTGGACTCCTTTAGCAAAAACAAAGAAAGAATAAGAAACGACAGGAGGAAAAAGGGAACTAAATATATGAACATACAGTAGGGGGAAAATGAATGCACCAGTATTTCAATTTCATATCAGTTTGACTATTTCCAGAACAAGTCATCAGAATCCACAGGAACAGTAGTAAGTTCTTGGATTCAGAAGGAGAACCAACCACTCTCCCAGTACTAAGTACTTTTTTGAGAAGTCACCATTTACATACATACACAGTTTCTGGAGAAAATACTGTTAATTAGAAGATGCCAGAAATGTTTTATAATTACCCATCTTTTTAACTGGGTTCAGAAATGGTCAATAGTCTCTGTGTCATTCTGACAGTCTCTTCTCTATATGACTTGCTGAAAGCACAAGACCCGTGTGATCTATCTGGTCACTCTCAGAACAGACACACAAAAAGTGTTTTCAGAACAATTCCAACAGAGATTTCAGAAAAAGAAATTGCATCAGCCAGGTGAGCCGGAAGCAGCTGGGAGACAAGAGTCCAATAAACAGCCAATCCAATGAAAGAAATTCAAAACAAGTCTGCTTCAGTAATCCTGTGAAGAGGACTGGCAGGAAGAGGAGTGCCGCTTTAGAAAGAGAACAGGCCTCATATGCTTCAGACAGTCTTTGTACTGAGGCTGTGGACCTTGGCCATTCTCCCAGAAATGATGCAATCCTGATGAACAAGATCTGCTGCCAGAGAAACAATTGTTAACAGCCTATGCAGACAGCAACTCAGCCAAGGAGCAATCTCTGATCAACTCTCTTCACAAACCCCCAGAAGCCACATCTCTTCCTCAATTTTGGTCTCTGACAAAACATATAAGTGAATACACATTAAATATATACAAACAAGCCATCTTCCCAAAACGTCCCTTTTCTTTTAATTGTTTTGGTTTTCCAATCTCAATCATCCGTAACTAAAATTTAAATACATCACTGAAAGCATTTCTATTTTAATGAATATAATTCTCCAAGCATATTAACAACAAGGTTTTAAAGGCAAGCTGTTAACAAAACGGTTGAGATTTTCCTTACTCTCATTAGAAAACGTTTTGAAAAGTAGGAGTGGCTTCCCTATATATGAAAATCACTCGAATCTAGGGCCCAATTATGAGATTTCAAAGTAAGGACAAATATGCACACTCACTAATTCAGGGCCAGAAAAGTATATTTTACAGTTATTTTTCAAATTATGTGAGACCCAATATGTTAAAGATAGGTATGTATTACAGAAAAGGAGAACATCTCTTCTTGTTTAGGCTGGCATAAACAGGTTGAATGATATCACAATCTGCAATGCTTACTTTTCTCAAGGGCAACATTATTACTTCAGATCTTTTAAGAGGGTTAATGATTATTTTCATCCTATTAGCCACAACTTCCTATTTTGGAATTAAAATTATAAACATCCTCAATTTAAAAATCCTCCCTAGATTCCTTACCTCCTAGGTCTGGTTTCTTTCCAGAGTTTTAGCATTAAGTTGTACATAGAATACTTTCATAAAATTATTAGGATTTCTGCCCCTCATTTACTACGTAAAGGACCCTGCATATAAAAGCTCTCAGTTCTCTGAATTCCAACTAGCCATAAGCTACAATCAACCAAATTTCTTCCTTTTGAAAGCAGTCTCTTAAACTGGGATTCACTAAAACACAAGCATCTAAGATGTCTCCTGAAATCAATATATTTAGCCCAGTGTACTATTCTGTCTAGACTAACTCTAAAGCAATAAAAGAGCTACAGCAGTCCAAGAAGTGAATATACTTAACTCAGTTAAGAGAAAAACATTTTTTCAGAAAAATTTTAAATAAGGCCATTAATTAATGAAAATATTTTCAAAATAGCCATTAATTAAAACAAAACTGCCATTACTTAAGATTTAATTTCTGAACCTACTGATTACTCAAAATTTTCTTACACACTTAAGTTGAATTTATTCCTAAGTATTTCTACACTTGTTTCCTCTTTAGAACAACTTTACAAAATAGTAAAAAGGAGTGATGGGAAAAGAATATTGGAAGGTTTTTAATATGACTGTTACCCTCAATGTTTAAATCAGAGAGTACTTCAAAGTGCAATTAATACACAAATGCATTTTATCTACAGGACCAACTTGTCTGGGAACTAATGTGGCAGTTGCCACTTATATGTTTTATTTTCCATCGTCAACCCAAACAAGTAATCAAAGTAAAACACTGCCATTGTACTGTAACATATAAGCTTGTGACCTTGAGAAAAGAAAATGTTATGAAAAAGTACTATATTAAGATGTAGGAAATCTGAGTTCTAGCCTACAACTTAAATAATTTGGTGATCTCAGAAAAGTCACTTTTTATACACAATCTTTAAATTCCTCAAAGTAAAATCTCATTGGGTTTTTTTCTGCTCCAGGTATCTATGAATCCTGGCATTGGCTTAGGCAATTCATGCATGCAGGGTCTCAAAGTCTCAGTTTTCTCATCTGTACAAAAGAAAGAATAATACTTGTCCTGCTCACTCACAGGTACATATAGACTAGCATTTGTAGCAAATAAAGAGTTTAAATGGCTCTCTACAGCCTTTAAATAGATGTGAAGAGGAGCTGCTACTATAACCTGAATGTGGCTAACAATTATTTTCACTATTCTCCAAAGGGTGTGTATTTTAATTTTGCTAAAGTAACCTGAGAAAAGGATACGCCAGTAAATAAGAAAACAAACAAACAAACAAAAAACCGTGTAGCAGAGATAAGTGATAAACACAGAAAAATTATTGGAAAATAAGAGATGAACTCTAAGAGAAAGTGCTAAGAGATGTGGCAAAAAGTTCATATAACTGGGATGGTATAAACTGTAAATTAGGATTTGAAGCAACTTAATGCAGGCTAAGAATCTAGAAGAAGTTCAGGTCTGAAGATAAAGAAGAAAAGAAAAAAACTGGGGGTAAACAATGAAGACTAAAGGTATTTATGGGCGCCTGGATGGCTCAGTCAGTTAAGCGGCTGACCTTTGGCTCAGGTCATGATCTCAAGGTTCAGGAGTTTGAGCCCTGCATCGGGCTCTATGCTGACAGCTCAGAGCCTGGAACCTGCTTCAGATGCTGTGTCTCCCTCTCTCTTTGCCCCATGCCTGCTTGCACTGTCTCTCTCTCTCTCTCAAAAAAAACCAAACATCAAAAAAAAAAAAATGTTTTTAAAGAAACTTTAAGTAATTTAGAGTCAAGATAAAGTTTCTTTTTCTCTCACCTCTTCTCCTGCAGCATTTGTTTATCCCTTGGCTCCTTTGCCTAAATTCATACTCCCTTTAGGGGCTATTAGGCATGGCATAATAAACAGATGTCTATAAAAGCTCTAAGTTTACTTGAACAGGAGGTAATTAAAACCGAGTTTTTTAAAAATCCTATTTTAGTACACAAAAAGAATTTCTTTCCCCATGAAAAATTTCATTAATGGCAGTATTACAGAAGACAAGATATACTTAGTTGTTCCTGGAGGAAGGGGGAGTACTGTTAGGATAAGAGTACACCATAAATAATGAAACTAAATACTACGATCTTAAATTATTTTAGGTTAACACTGAAAAAAAAAAGAAGTATTTTATTTACACCTCATTTAACAATGATAAACTGATATTTACTGCAAAACTAACCAAAGATGCACAGTCTCTATCCTTAAGAAGAACCAAGAACACTTTAGGCTTCTAAGTATTAAATAAAGATGACACCCTCAAAGAACTTTCAAGAGCTCTTTAAAGAGAGATTGTCAAGACTTTCTGAAGGTTCTGTCCTACTGTGTTGGAAGCCTCAGAGCATGCTTTAGAGCCATGTACCACAAGAAAAGAACATCTCACTCCTCTACGTTTTGCCTCCTCTGTACAAACCCTTTTCATTTTCAAGCCCTGAAATGGGAACCATATTTCCTTACTCCAGACGAAGTGGGTTGTACACATTTATGAAGCATTAATATCTGTTATACTTTCAGTATTTGGGCAAAATTCCTACAGTTCATAAAAAATCTAGAAATTTAAAGTTTAGAATCTAATTTATTATTTTACAGGTGAAGAAACAGAGCTACAAAAATATTAACTTTGGGGGGGGGGCGGCCCTGGGTGG